GGAAATTAAATAAATCAAAACAATTAAAACATCAAAATTCAAGGCAGCAATATGCAAAGTCAAGTTGGGTGTGAAAACACTTTAAACTAAGTAATGATAAAATATATGATGTATGTAAAGTCAAAATGATGAATTTAAACAATGAAGAGGTTGTGTGTGATCACAAATTTCTCCATAATAGTAGTACAGGAAATATGAGCAGTCACCTTCAAAGCAAGCATGACTTATATGAAAATCAAAATAAAGTAAGTTTTATATTAATTAATATTCAATATAATTAATTACTCTATACTAATAAATATTTATATGATTACTATATAGACTCATAATTCTAGTATTCAACAGACAATACCTGAGATTTTTGAACAGTCAAAAGTTATTAAAATGCATAAGGAAGCATGAAATCGTAAGATTTGACAAGCCATTGCTGAGTGGATTATTATTGACAATTTGTCATTTAATATAGTTAAGGGAAAGAGTTACCAAAAGATGATGAAAATTGTTGACCCAGTCTTTTGTCTTCCTACTAATAAAGGAATAAAAAAAGGAAATTATTAGTAATTATCCTAATGCAGTTAAAAATTTAAAAAAATTATTGGACAATACATGTAAATTGGCATCTTTAATGGTTGATCTATGGATTTCAATAAGTAATCATAGATATATAGACATAATGCTCTATTGGTTATCAGATGATTTTAAAGTATATGATTGTTTATTTTGTATGGAATGTATGTCATATCCACATTCAGCTAAAAATATAGTTGCAATTTTAAAAAAAAAAGTTTTTGAATTTGGGTTAGATGGAAAGTTAATTATGTTATAACGAATAATGGTAGCAATATGGTTAAGGCGATTAGTTTGTGGGAAGGTGTTGAACGTCTGCCTTGTGCAGCTCACACCTTGCAACTTCAGTTATTTGTGCCTTTAAAAAGACTAAAATTTACATTAAAAGAATAAAAAAACTAGTTCGATTTTTTACTAAATCACCTAAACAAAGTGAGCATCTAGATAATGCACAATAAGAATATTGGCAGCATCAAGCCCAAAGTCATAATATGAGTGATGAATCAAGCTTTAATAATAGTGATTCAGATGATTTGTCAGTAAATGTTGCAGGTTCTGAAGAACCTATTTTACGAAATATTGCAGACATTGAAACGAGATGGAACTCAAAGTATCATTCATGGAAGCAGCTGCTTAAATTGCATAGAGCAATAGAATGGTTAGTTGCAACACTACCTTTGTCAGATAATCTGGATGATAGAGCTGATGGTCAAAAGTTAAAAAAATTAGCTTTATTATCTCACGAGTGGAATTTATTAAGTCAGATTGTAACTTTAATAGAACTGTTTGATGATGCTACTACCTATTTTAGTAGTTCCAAATATGCTATCTTATCAATTATATATCCTTTAATTCAAGCTTTAAAATATACATTTGCTGATACTGAAATAACTGATGATATTTTATATGAAGAAGGTATAGTAAAATATGATTTTTTTTAAAAAAATTTACTATATATATAGCATTTGCAATTGACATTATTAATAATTTTTAAATTTATTTAAAAGATACTCCAAATTTTCATCATGAAGAATCATCCGATGATGATAGTGATGAATTAGATCTTGAAATTTCAGAAGCTACAACAAACTGTCGCCAAAAACATTCAACTACAATTGTCTCTACTAATTTAGCTAATAATTCTTTACAAAATGCTCAAGTAATTAAAACAATGCAAAACATAATTTATAATTCATTGTTTGATTACTGGAATGAACCTGTAATGACTGGTTTGTTGGCATCGCTTTTGGATCCATGCTTAAAAACACTCTCTAATTGGGATGAAACAACTTAAAAAAAAGCTAAGATTGAATTAACACATCAATTTGAAGTATTAATTGCTTCAAATTTGGAACAAACAATTGCATCAATGCATACGACTTCAAAAAATAATAATATTCACTGTAGTCATTTACATTTGTCAATTTTTGGCACCTCTGCAAATAATACTACTTCTGGTCCTTTAGATGAGTTTGAATGTTACTTGGATCCTATACAAACTCCTATTGCTGAAGATGATATCAATCCATTTGATTGGTGGGCAAATTGGAAAACACAATTTCCTAATGTAGCAAAATTGGCTAAGAAATACTTATCTATCCCTACATCCTCTGTGCCTAGCGAAAGGTTATTTTCAGATGTGGGAAACCTTATTACTGCTAAATGTAACCAATTAGATCCAAAACTTGCAGGCAAAATAATGTTTATGAAAAGAAATTCTGATGTAATTTCATTGGTTTAAATTTTTTTATTGTTATTAATAAAAATAAATATAAATAGCAATTTTATTTGAATATTAATAAATATTAGAATATTACAATTATTAGTATTTAGTTATTTATATACTATATTGTAAAAGTATGATTTGTTATCTATTTTGACCTAAGTTAAATTTAATTTGAGCTATAAACAGATAATAGTTCATATTTCTATATACTAGTAATACAATAATATGCTTATTTTGCAAAAAGTTAATTGGTTTTTTACTTTATACATTTAACCTGTTTTCACCCGGGTTATCCGATTTTAATTTATACAGGTGACCCGGGTTAGAAAATTGCATCCGGGTCTGATCCCTAAACGTAAACTATACAAATATGAGAATTTTTAGTATAGTCATCAATAACACGGCTATACGTTAATTTTAAATAGTATATTTTTATAAATTTATATTAATGTGTTTGAAAAAGCCAACTCAAATTTAGCAATTATAAATAATGTAATCTCTGCTCTTCAGCTAATCTTTGCTGCAAACGTATACTTTCCCCAATTTTTGTAATCTATTATAAGAGAAGTTACAGCACGGACTCTTGATGTAGTACGAACTTACCACCATATCTGATACAATTCGTGATAATGCTAAACCTTGCGGTTTGTTGCTGAAGCAAGGCACAGTGAAAATTGCATATGAAAACAAGCACATGATTTTCCTTCTCACGATACCTAGTTGGACGAATTGGAATCACTTGTAAACTATTAGATGTAGGCAGTGTTGGACCTGTATAATTATGCATTTTAAGCAGCATTAATGTAAGTAACGTGGGTGGCGCCTTTCTAAGTTCATATATAACATCAACAATTATACCCATTGCGCCAATTTATCAACCTATAATTAATAAAATTGGAGGTAAGCATTATACAAGCTCCAACTGATAAAAGTTACTTTTTAATTGATTTATGCTAGCTAATTAGATCACTTAATTAAGCATTTATTTTTTGAATAAATAAAATTGTATAAGATACATACGACATATTAGCTAGATTTACGATGCAATACTTATTATATCATTAAATGCTTATATATCACCATAATAGAACTTTTTATAATAAATTGCAAATTCCTGTAATATATATATTTATAAAATGTCAGAAATAAAAGCTACACAATAATGAACACAATAAAACGAATAATATAAATGATATATATACAATAAAAAATGGAAACTTTAAATTTTTTTTAAAAAACCTCAAAAATTAATTTTGTATTTTTTTTTAAAAAATACTAGTTGTCAAAGGCTGATGCATTATGAAGTCAATCTTCCCAATAATGAATTGGTAAACCTTTTAAGGTTTGTTTATGTTAGTGTTTACTTTAAATAGTAAAATTTTTCAAGGAAAATCTTTCGTTAGAGCACTAAAGGTTGTTTCTTTATGCAGCTTTTGAGAAATAAGTTGTTTTCGACAAAAAAAAATCATGCGTAGGTGGAATTTCATAGAATCATGGAATTATTGTTGGTCACGCATATAAGTCGATACATATTCGTTCAATCGGATTCTACTGTATTCCAGTTTATAAGTCCAGTGGAACAAAGTTGGCTCAACACTAAAGGTTTTTTTTTGAGCCAAACACGCCATTCAAACCAATGACACACTAGATTAGATAATCTCTTAGTACTTACAAATTTTATTTAAAATATATGCATAAATAATATAAATAAGAAATCAAAATAATTTACAATAATAAAAGTTTCCTAAAACGAATATATATTTTATAAAATAAACTATATAAATTGATTGACTAAACTCTTAGTTATTTTGAAGTTTTACCAAAAATTTGAGCGACATTAAAAAAATAATCAGGATAAGACTGAATAACATAGCAAAGCTTCCACAATACAATACTAAGTAATAACATAAGCCAAACCATTCTGATATTTAGCCAATTAATTCTACCTAATTGAACAAAAGACCACCAAACCAAGAAAGTCCCACCAATACTTTTCATCGACTGAACATTATATACTGTACCACACCATAATGTAAATGCATAAGAAAAAATCTCTAAGATAAGATTCCAATGCTTGTAGCTAGCACTATCTATCAATAATGCAACATGGTACGTAAAAGTACAGAAAAAGAATATGCCTGTCTCAAAAGGAGCTAACAATTTTATCTTAGAGATATCGTTGTCAAATACGTATACAGGTATAGTGAATACTAAGAGAATTATGCCAGTGATAAATTTACAACGGACCATCGCATCTCGTGAATTGAATCCAATAACTGCCATCGTACTACATACATATCCTGAAAATCCAAGGATAGATAAAACAGTAAAAATCGTCATTGTACCTATTATATGAACTTGATATAAAACAGCGATAAAGGCATAGATTACAGCGAGTATTCTCTGAGTATATCTATATGATTCCTCAAAATCTGATACTCGTAGAGAAAATGACCACAACCATATTGGAGACCATAGAATGCAACCAGTTAATGCAATGTAATCTCTTCGTGAAGTGCCAACATCGTAAATACGTGCATTGAAAATTATAAAAAAACAAATAACATGGGCAAGAAACTCCCAGACATAGACCGGAACCCAAAATATGAAATCCAATATTAATGGAAAAATCCAATTTCTGAATAATACTGACAAAGAAATTACGAATAAGGAGATAGACATAAACCAAATTATATTCGTAAAAGAAACAAATCCCGCCAAACGTTCATGATAATTTGGTTGTCGTGGAGCGATTACATCATTTGGATATGGCAAATGATTCTGAAGTTGATTAGGAAGTTCATTAGGAGTGAAATGTTGCAATAGCGAATCAATAATTTCTGATGCAGTTGAATCTTTCTTGATATCATAATATCTGCTTAGTCCAAATAATTGACGATATAGGTTTATTATAAGTTCTTTGTGTTCTTGAGCAACTAACTGCTGCTGACTTGATTGAAGTCTTAATTCTTCCCGTACGAATGTCATCTGTTTCAACCTTTAAATAGTTCCAAGGACTTTTACATATTGAATAGGATCTTTTAGATTTCTCAAATGATCGAAAAATGTTTTTACAGATATTGGTTGGTAGTCTGCAGCATCGTCATCTTTACTTGAAAAAGTACTATGAACGCTCCCAATTAGTAAAAATAGGCATATGAAAATACATATTGTAATTTGTTTTTTGTATAAAAAGTTCATTTTTTTCAATTTCATAAAAGTAACATGAACGGAATTCAGTTGAAGAAATCTAACATCTTACGATAATTCCGTTCGGCTAACATATGATAATTTTTACGTAATGTGTTACCTTAACAAATCTTGTGATCTAAATAAACTAATTGAACTACCCCAGCATCGCCGTAAAAGGAAACCCCCCACAAAAATTTTCCGGAACGTAATTTTAGCCAATTAGCAATTTTGTATTTTTCAAGAAGATTCTTTGCGAAATTTTGGTATATCTTATGCCCTCTTTGGCCTTAATACTAACCTTAAAGATGTAGTTTATTGATTTAAATCTTTCGCGTAATTTAATTTGCTAAAAATCACATTCCGGAAAATTTTTGTGGGTGAGCTACCAATAATAGTAAAAAGGTTACTGTCGCATCGCATGAGGATCGATAGTGGTTTATCCAATAGCGAGTCTCGCTTTAGTGTAATTGCGTTCTAACAAAAAATTTCTTTAAGCAATTTTACTAGATACCCCCGTACCGTGTAAATACAAATCATGATTTAGATCGTTAAATAAATACTATACCATATTTAATACCATAATTGCCTTCAGTCCTTCAACGCTTTTGTACCCTATTTCTATCTACAGTAGATATGGTTACCTTCTAATTTCAAAATTGAATATGCTATACTCGGCATGCATATAACTAGAAGCCAATCTCCAATTATTATGGTTATAATAGCCACACACAACTGAGGGGGAGCAGAATCCCTCGACATCTCAAGGACAAACCCCACGAAATCGCTCTTCGAGTCGGCATTCCTCAGCCTTCAGCAATGACATACCAAAACTCAGGCTCGATATCTAATGTAATCTCATCGTTTTGTGCATTTTGAGCATTTTGTGTAAATTATAGTTGTAGAAAATAATATATCACTAACCAGTTGTATAATCTTTAATTCTTTCTTCTATCAGAATTACTTATTTCTTTCAATGCTTTTTCAACTGTACGCCCTGCCAAATCTCTTAACATTTTCATATTTTGTATAAAGTCTTATCAACCATCGCCAGATAAACAACCGATGCCGAACAAATGGCATCTAATAATTCTTTTGCTAAAAGCTTTACTATGATTAAAGTTGAAACATTGAAACATTACCGTAGTTTTACTAAATTTTGCGTGATCTTGTGTAAGTTCGTTAAGATGGTTTTTAGATGGTTTCATGAAATTTGCAAGGAATGTGATTATACTATCATATGATTCCATGTGATTGGTTATATCATATGTCATCGATTTCAATCAGTAAACTTTATGCAGAATTTATAGTAGTTCGATAATGTTAGCCAAGTTTCATAATGCTAGTACTTTATATCACGTATGAAATTTACATGAAATTTATGTTGATGAAACTTACGAAAAAATAAATGAAATGTAAGATTGCAAAATGTAATTTTCAATCCTGGTTATGAACTTCATTAATAAAATTTTTAGTGAATTAATCAATTCTGGAACATCCGACCTGGATTCCGGTGCATTCCGACACAGTACGTATTTTGGGATCCCCCTGTATGATCAAACGATCTAGTTTATGAACGTATGAATCCTAATAAATGAAAACT